CCCCCCCCCCCCCCCCCCCCCCCCCCCCCCCCCGTTTCCCCAGCGAGCAAGGCTTTCAAAATTGCAGTTTCCTAATTTCTGCTGTTCCTTGGCAAAGTTTTCTGACAGATACACCATCCTACACACACTCCCATCCAGATGCACAGATGGACCTACGATTTTGAAATCCTATGTTTTTGATTTATATAAATATACAGGCAAAATCATAACAATTCCGTTCCACATAAAGTTTCCCTTGGTAATTATATTTTCAATATCACTGTAAAAAACAAACCTCTCGATCCGTTCCGACATCTAACATGATGGGAAGACACCATCTGGGATGTACTCCACCCAAAGCAACATACAGTGACAGCTTACCAACTGGGATACCCATCCCATATGCGCCCAGATCACCCAGTCCAAGTATACGCTCGCCATCCGTGACCACTATTGCCTAGAACCACAATTAATACAGGCATTTTTTACCCTTTACTCTGAACCTGATCGCATAGCACCGATGCTACTTTTGCTTTTTAGAGTCTTTTGAAAGATAAAAAACACATTATCAATCGCTTAAATCCCCTTTATCTAACTCGTTTCGCTCTTTGCCGTGGTACTTGAAAATGTTTTTGTAGTCAAATCTGAATGGAATTTGAAAAGAACCCCAAACGAGCTTAAGAAAATAGCCTACTGAATTTATATCAAATATTCTCTTGTTGCTTTACGAAATCACCCCTCCTGACTCATTGACACCAGCATTTTATACCATTTAATCATCCTAAGCGATTAACAGTTGCAAATACAAAAGAGGTGAGGAAAAAATGAGGGGGTTCCTTTACTGTTTGCCCTGGACTGCCGCAATTACTACATTAATATGCATTTAATAGAAGAAATGATTTACGGGACTCTTTTGACAGTAATTCTAAATGCTTCCAATCCCGAAATGCTCTCACATTTCCCTTCACACCTGATCCACAGATGTGGTTGCTCTAGGCTTGCCCGGCCACTGAAATAAGAGGCCTTCTGCGCAGACGAAAATCATCGCTTGCACCACAAATTGCGCAATGTATTTACGCAAGAAAAGCATGAGGCACATCTTTGTTTTCGCCGATAACTTTCTGAATTATCGTCTTCGAAAAGTAAGTACGCGAGCACACCACAGAATCAGTTTTGAGTGAGAGTGATACAGCTGCGTACTCACAATACAATAAATGTTTCATTAACTTACCCTAACATCGTGTTCCGGCCAATTGCTCAAGATGCGATATATTTTACTAACACTGTTGTCATTGATTGTTATGTAAACACCTCTGAAATTAGTGCAGTTTCCGTCGACACGTCAAAATTTAGCTTATTTGAGATAGAGCACCTTCCTTGTCCCCTTCCTAAGTATGAATTTCACTATTTCGAGGCCAAATTAGAACACTTCATAAATTTCGATAACTTTTTTTAAGCAAACAGCCCCTTCAAATGCAGGATCATTTTCTTAGCAGAGACTCCGTTTGCAATGATCGTCTCACGGGTGGTTACGACTGTTAGTAACAGTGATAACTCTGCAATCTAGAAGTGCCTTCAACAGAATTTTACAAAGAGGATAAACATCTTGAATACTTTTATGACAATCTTTTTCGTATTCATATATATTTTTTATCCAGTAACAAAAGTTAAGCATTGAAACGTCTTTCGTATTTACTTTCCGGCGAGAGGAAAAGGCACTCGACAGTAGCTCTAGTGAAGTAGGTACTAACAGTATCCGTCCGCTAGCAAAGCTATCAGTAGTTTCTTGTTTCGAGTGTTGTTTTGAAGCAGGCTGATAATTAGCCCATCTGACTCTTTGACATGTGCCAATACCAATTTACCATCGAAAAGATCTCACAATGATACAGCGCTTTCACTACATTTTTTTATCAGTTCTACTGCTAATAAAAATATTATCTTTATTAAATGACATCTTTTTTAGTAGCACAATTTATACTAATAAAACTGGAAAACAAAATTAATAAAACTGCTGAATTTGGTACACAACAAATGTATGATTTTTTGCAAAAATAAGCAGTTAAACTTGTTTTTTCTTAAAACGGGCAACTGCATGAAGGGACAAGCACAAGGTAGGGTAGGGGAAAGGTAAGGCAGGACAAGGTAGGGGAAAGGAGCGAGGTGGGAACAGAAGCGGGACAAGCACAAAACGAAAGGGTAAATTTCCTTCATCCCCTCGTTCCTCTAATGGCGACACCTGCACATCGGACGTACGCAGAATCCAGTTACCTAACAAATGCAAGTGCATACTGAGAGGTAAAGCATGTTTTATGGCGACATTCATTTGGCCTGGAGAACTTCGCCCTCTGGATTTCATTTCGGCAACCAAAGTAGGCCTACAGAATACACAGGATATCGGGCATGTTTATTAATTTATTTCCCAATTTCTTGGTTTTAAACAAAGCTTTCCATACGAAACGCGTATTGCGTATATGGATAAGCATTTTTTTTCAGCGGCACTTGGTCGTATTATCCTTCCTTCATTCCACCAAATTATAAGCGAGCGTACCAACTTGACACTGCACATAAATATTGTGAATGCTAAGATGCTTGAACAATCGGTGCAGGTACGTTATGTTAGTGAAATTACAGGAATGATCCCACGCGCCAGGCACAGTAGTGCCAGTATTTCGACCCCGGGCTGCGCCCAAGCGGTTTTTTACAAACTCGCTGGTT